TGAGCCCCTGCAGCCCGAGGGAGGTGGTTTGTTAGGTCCCCTGGCCGCTGATGCTGCGCTCCGTGTTGCGTCCCGCGTGTGTTGCATTGTCGCCGGGCATTGCTGCAAGTAACAGCAGTTCATAGAATCATAGAATCAACCGGGTTGGAAGAGACCTCCAAGATCGTCAACCCCAACCCTACCGTGGTCACTAGCCCATGGCACTAAGTGCCACATCCAGTCTCATCTTGAAAACCTTCAGAGATGGTGAATCCACCACCTCCCCGGGCAACCCATTCCAATGCCTGATCACTCTCTCCATAAAAAATCTCTTCCTAATATCCAACCTAAACCTCCCCTGGCAGAGCTTGAGTCTGTGCACCCCCACCTGAGTCGAGTCCAACCTCAGGGAGTTGTAGAGGGTGATAGTGTCTCCCCTGAGCCTCCTCTTCTCCAGGCTGAACAACCTCAGCTCCCTCAGCCTCTCCTCATAGCACTTGTGCTCGAGTCCCTTCACCAGCCTCATTGCTCTTCTCTGGACCTGCTCCAGCACCTCAATATCCCTCCTGACCTGAGAGGCCCAGATTGTCTAAAGTAAATACATACGATACAAAGAAAGTAAGGGGGGGAAATTTACATTGAGTGGGTATTGGCAGTCATAATGATGTTTCTATGAGGATAAAAATGTGTTAAAAGGCAGAAAGCTTCACTGTAGTTAACTCTACAGGGCAGGTGGCTGTGGTGGCATTATAGACATTGATTCATAGGGGTTAGTTCCTATCCGTATGGAATAGTTCTTATTCACAGTGAAAGAAAAGTAGTAATAGGCTCATCTGTATATCATCGGTTCATAGAATTTTAGGGTTTGGAATGGACCTTAGAGATCATCCAGTGCCAACCTCCTACCCTGGGCAGGGACACCTCCCACCAGAGGAAGTTGCTCAAGGCTTCATCCAGCCTGGCTTTGAACACTGCCAGGGTTGGGGCAGCCACTACCTCCCTGGGCAACCTGTGACAGTGTCTTACCACCCTCACAGGGAAAACATCTTCCTAATATCTAGCCTAAATTTCCCCTCTTTCAATTTGTCCCCATTGCCCCTTGTCCTGTCACTGCAGCTCCAAACACAGAGTTCCTCTGCAGCTTCCCTGGAGCCCCTTCAGATATCGGAATGTGCTATGAATGTATTTGAAACAAAGTTTATTTGAGGAAACCGGAGGCAGATGAAGATAGTCTCTTCCTCTGTGAAAGGGAAATCAGTGTGATACTCTTAATGATGTTCATTCATAAGAATTAGCATGTATAATTAATGCTGAGTTCCCTACATCATTTGTATTTTACAACACTGCTCTAGCACACAGTGTAGGTCATTAGTGCCACTGTGGGTGGCCTGTCCTCGTTGAGCTCCACCACAGTCACACGGACTAGGGGAGGGATTTAAGTCAGTGTGACTATCACGTGTTAGTTCTTACCTCACTGTGCTTGGCTGTGGGATTTTCCCTATGAAAAACAGGTAGTTTTTCTCTGCATTTTAATGGTCACTGAATAAATCTTTGGCAAATACTTCAAAAACAGTCTGTAAGAAGTGACCTGCAGGGTCAGGCCAGTGGTCCATAGAGCCCAGAATTCTGGAGAAAGTTGTGTGGAGACCTCGGAGCACCTTCCAGGATCTGAAGGGGCTCCGGGGAAGCTGCAGAGGGACTCTGTGTTAGGAGCTACAGTGACAGGACAAGGGGCAATGGGTGCAAATTGAAGAAGGGGAAATTTACGCTAGATATTAGGAAGAGGTTTTCCCTTTGAGGGTAGTGAGACACTGACACAGGTTGCCCAGGGACATGGTGGCTACCCCAACCCTGGCAGTGTTCAAAGCCAGGTTGGATGAAGCCTTGAGCAACCTGGTCTGCTACAGGGCAGGGGATTGGGACTGGATGATCTCTTAAGGTCCATTCCAACCCCTAAAACTCTATGATTCTTCCAAGATCGGCAATAGCAGATGACAATTACAGAGAACTTGACAGTTTAAGAACTGTGATGTTTGTTTCTTTGCAGGGCTGGAAGACCTTTTGTTGATCAATTCAAAATGTAGCAGCAAAAAGAAGGGCACAACTTTACAGACAGTTAGGATGCCAAGGAGTAATGGTAAGTAGGAGCTTTTTATTGCAATAGTGTTGAGTAGTAGGTAACATCTGTGACATAACTTTTGCTTCAGTGCTTTCCTTGCATAGGTTGAGGGAGAAACTCTCATGTTCTGTTTCTGCTGGTGCTAGGTCCTCCATTCCAGTTCCATGTTCCACAGGTTAATCATGTAACTGCTGCTTCTGTAAAACTAGATTTTGTGATGCTAGGCATTACAGATGTAAGTTTTAGGGATACATTGTTCTTTTCCAGCACAGAGCTGTAGCCTTTTTCTGACCTGGGTTTCTTACCTCTTTTTAGAAGTAATTTCTCAGTATAAGATATTGTTTGTATAAAAGCATTTGAGTCAAAATGAACTCTTCCCAAATTATTATATTTTTGTCTTGTGATTGAGCTGAAATTGAAGAAGTACTAGAAAAAATTGTGAGATCAAGTACTTTCTTGGATAAAAGTCTCTACAAAGTTGACAGTGTTTCAAAGGTAGATTAGACCTGTTAAGGCTTCTGTGGAGCTCACCTGGAATAGTTCCTATTCACAGTGAAAGAAAACTAGTGATTGGCTCATCTGTATATGTGGAGCAAAGTTTCTTTGAGGAAAATCTTGAGGCAGGTGAAGATATTCTTTTCCTCCATGGAAGGGAAATGAGTGTGATTCTCTTCATGACACTGATTATCTTAACATCTTGGGAAATCCCACTTAGTTTAGGATGAGGGATATTTCTGTAGAGCTTAAGTGCTTTATACTTCAACCTAGAGCATCCATCTCCCATCTCAATTTCAGAGCTCCTTTTTTTGTTCGTTACACTGACCTTTCATTAGCCTAGTGTGACCTCTGTACTACAGCTGATTTTTCTATCTCCTTTGAGACTTCCGGTCAATGCTTTAACAGGGAAGAAAATAGGACATGATTGTATTTCCATTGTAGATAATTGTGGCACTCAATATGAATTTTAAACCATGGAATTTCCAAGCAAGTTTCCTATAGTCACATTTGTTTTAGATGTCTGAATGGAATAGAAGTGACTTCTGCCTTCTGCTAATCAATAGATCCACTCACTCAGTGTTTGCTAGTTTATGTCTTGGGCAAATTGAATACTGTAAGAAATGCTTCTATGAAAACGTCTTCAATATTGTAGACAGCTAGAAATTCTAGTTGAAATGGAATCTGTTGAAAGGCTCAGATTTCTGAGGTATAAATGGGAAACCTAGTGTGCAGCTGTTTGTACAGAAATGTGATCATTGTTTCTTTTCAGTTTTGGACAGAGTACAGAGCTTTTTACCACAGATGGCCCAGGCAAATGATGAGCTCAAGAGGAAAATGGTGACAACACCAGCTCATCAGTTTGATATTGAAAATCTAGACAGTACAACAGAAAAAGTGATCGAAATGGTAAATACTGTATTTTTTTATTGTATGATGTAAATCTATGCATAATTCAAGTAACTCTCTGGTTGTAGAATGAGCTAATGCCATAGATAAGTGAAGTTTTTATCATTTTAGTTTGTGATCTGCTAACTCAAAACACAAGATAAAAATGCTGATTTGGTTGACATTTACAACTTGGTTTTCATACTTGCAGGATTGAAAGTCTGGGGATGAAGGAGTTTTAAGACCAGAATGAGCTATACCTACTCTAAAGCAAAAATCACAAACTGTATTTTAAATGTCTTATAGATTATTTGGTTCAGAAACTGGACAATATGAGGCCTCGTAAGGCAGAACTGGAGGCTTTACTGTAAGAGTAACAACTGGATTTCAGCTGTGCTTTGTCAGTATTTTTAGGACTGACTGTAGATCTTGGGTTTAGAAAAGTGTTGTGGTCATGCTGTGATCCTTTGTGGCTAGTTTTTGTCTGTTTATTTGCATTCACATCAATATTTTATTTCTGGTTTTAACTGAAGTGCTGCAGCCACATGCTCAGGTAAGAAAATGTTCAGAAGAAGGTTACACACCATGTGCATGACCCAGCCAAGTGCCCTGTGGCCTGCAGACTGACGAGATACATAGGCAGCCTGAGGTTTGGTGTATCAACTGTCACAGCAATTTACTGGCCACTAGCTGGATTAGGGTATCCAGCCCAAACACAGTAAGTTCATAGAATCATAGAATAGAATCATAGAATCACAGAACTTAAGGGTTCGAATGGACCTTACAGGTCATCCAGTCCCAATCCCATGCCCTGGGCAGGGACAGATGCTCACTAGATCAGGTTGCTCAAGGCTTCATCCAGCCTGGCCTTGAACACCACCAGGATCGGGGCAGCCACCACATCCCTGGGCAGCCTGTGCCAGTGTCTCACCATCCTGATAGGGAAAAACTTTTTTCTAATATCTAACCTAGTCTTTCTCTCCTTCAGTTTGAACCCATTACCCCTTGTCCTGTCACCGCAGTTCCTAACACAGATTCCCTCTCCAGCTCCCTTGTAGGCCCTTCAGATACTGAAAAGTTGCTCTGAGGTCTCCACGCAGTCTTCTCTTTTCCAGGCTGAACAGCCCCAACTCCCACAGCCTATCTTCTTAGAGGAGATGCTCCAGCCCCCTTAGCAACTTTGTGGTCTCCTCTGGACTTGCTCCCACAGTTCCTTGTCCTTATGTTGAGGACACCAGAACTGTGTGCAGTATTCCGGGTGAGTCTCACAAAAGCAGAGTAGGGGGGGAAGAATCGCCTCCTTTGATGTGCTGCCCACACTCCTTTGGATGCAGCCCAGGGTTCGATTGGCTTTCTGGGCTGCTAGCACACACTGCAGTTCATGGTGAGCTTCTCATCCATAGAGAATAAACCGGGTTGGAAGAGACCTCAAAGATCATCAAGTCCAAACCCACAATGGTTTCTAGACCATGGCACTAAGTGCCACATCTAGTCTCATCTTGAAAACCTCCAGGGACAGTGAATCCACCACCTCCCTGGGCAGCACATTCCAATGCCTGATCACTCTCTCCGTAAAAAATCTCTTCCTAATATCCAATCTAAACCTGCCCTGGCAGAGCTTGAGTCTGTGCCCTCTTGTTCTCCTGCTGGTTGCCTGGGAGAAGAGACCAACCCCCACCTGACTCCAACCTCCTGTCAGGGAGTTGTAGAGGGTGATAAGTTCTCTCCTGAGCCTCCTCTTCTCCAGGCCGAACAACCCCAGCTCTCTGTGCTGTATATGCTGAAGAATTCTGAATGAATAGTAAGAAAACCGAGTGAATCATGGTTTGATTTGCTTAAGTAAATAGGTAACTTGACAGGATTTTACAAAATACCTGATTTAGACTGTCTGAGTTCAGCTACCAACTCAGCTCTCTCTTTGATAATGATGAGAAACTCACACTCTGGGTGAGAAACTCCCCAAGAGCTGCAATGTGAGCTCACAGCCCAGAAAGCCAATCAAATCCTGGGCTGCATCCAAAGGAGTGTGGGCTTTTAGCAGGTCAAAAGAGGTGATTCTTCCCCTCTACTCTGCTCTTGTGAGACTCACCTGGAATACTGCACACAGTTCTGGTGTCCTCAACATAAGAAGGACATGGAACTGTGGGAGCAAGTCCAGAGGAGGCCACAAAGTTGCTAAGAGGACTGGAGCATCTCCCCTGTGAAGAAACGCTGAGGGAGTTGGGGCTGTTCAGCCTGGAGAAGACTGTGTGGAGAACTCAGAGCAACTTTTCAGTGTCTAAAGGGCCTACAAGGGAGCTGGAGAGGGACTGTTTGTTAGGAACTGCAATGATAGGACAAGGGGTAATGGGTACAAACTGAAGGAGGGAAATTCTAGGTCAGATGTGAGGAAAACATTTTTTCCTGTGAGGGTGGTGAGACACTGGCACAGGTTGCTCAGGGATGTGGTGGCTGCCCTGACCCTGGCAGTGTTCAAGGCCAGGCTGGATGAAGCCTTGAGCAACCTGATCTAGTGAGGAGGTGTCCCTGCCCAGGGCAGGGGGTTGGACTAGATGATCTGTAAGGTCCATTCCAACTCCTAAATTCTATGATTCTGTGATATAACTATGGCCTTATATTTGCAACATAAATTACAATTTAAATATTTAGTAATCTGTTCTGTATTTGTTATAATCCTAGGAGAACCCCAAAGTCATTGTGGTTTTCTTATAGAATTAGGCTCTTTGCTTTATGTTTGACTCCAGTGATAGAAGTGGTATAGTACAATGTCTAAAGTCTTTTTCTCTCAGAATGTGGCTGTGGTCGAGCTGAGTGAGTCTGACACAGATGAAGAGATGGTAACTTCAGAAGATGACTCAGAATCTGAAGATGACTCTGTAACTGGTGAAGTGACAATTGACAACATTAAGTTTCCTAAACAAAAAGGAGAAAAGGGAAAAATAGAAATTCTGGACAGCAAAGTAAATGAATAAATCCATTTTATTTTACTTTTAAAAAAGCCAAACAAACTAAATAATGTTTCTCACTTTGTAGACTTGGCCCTTAAAACTGCCTTGTTTCCCAGTGTAGCATCTCTCAGGATCATGGGAAATGCTGTAGTTTACATAGTGGAGAACCATGATCCACTGATTACTGAGGGAGGATGGATTTAAGAAGAGTTGAGTGTGATCTGATTTTTCAAACCACACAGAAACGCACTTCATAGCAGATGAGACTAAGAAAGCAGGTAGAATAAGGGACACTTGAACAAGTTACAATTCCTGTTGCTTTTTTGAGGAAAGATTTATTTTTTTATAGCATGATAGAGGTTTTTGCTTCAAAGGCAAGAAAGAGTTCACTTAAAAGGTTTGTTTTTATATTCCATGTCCTGTGCAATGTTGTGTACAATGTCTTAAATATTAAACATTATCTTAAAGTTCCTCAGAGGTATGTCTATATTTCATTATGTCAGTGACAGGGGAACACCAGAGCAGCGGCTGAGATCACACAGTTAGGTTGGAAGGGACCACGTCATCTGGTCCAACCTTCCTACTCAAGCAGGGCCACCCTAGAGTACATGTCTCAGGATTGTGTCCAGAGGGTTCTTGAATTGAATAAGTGAGGGAGAATCTACAACCTCTCTGGGCAACCTGTTCAGTGCTAGATCATTTCAAGATGAGCTGGCATGGGTAAGGACAGCCACAACGGGCCAGAGTTCAGCAGAGGATTCCTTACCCTCTGCACCATTATTAAGGTCCTACATCTGGGCCATGGCAATCCCAAGCACAGCTACAGGTTGGGTGGGGAAATAATTGAAAACAGCAGTGAGGGGAAGACTTGGGAGTGACAGTGGATGAGAAGCTCCCCATGAGCTGCAGTGTGAGCTCAGCCCAGAAAGCCAATGGAATCCTGGGCTGCATCCAAAGGAGTGTGGGCAGCAGGTCAAAAGAGGTGATTCTTCCCCTCTGCTCTGCTCTTGTGAGACCCACCTGGAATACTGCACACAGTTTTGGTGTCCTCAACATAAGAAGGACATGGAACTGTGGGAGCAAGTCCAGAGGAGGCCACGAAGTTGCTAAGAGGACTGGAGCACCTCACCTATGAGGACAGGCTGAGGGCATTGGGGCTGTTCAGCCTGGAGAAGAGAAGACTGTGTGGAGACCACAGAGCAACTTTTCAATATCTGAAAGGCCTACAAGGGAGCTGGAGAGGGACTGTTT